CGGCGCTCTCTTTCTCTCTGTCTTTCGCCCTCTCTCTCACTCCGTTGCCCTTTCCCTCCGTCCTTCTCTTCCCGTCCTTGCGCCCCCCCCCCCTCACCTCCCCCTCTCTACCCTTCTTTCTCTCTCTCTGCGCCACCCGACTTTTTCTCTCCACCCTCTTTCCAGTGCCAAAAGCTTCTTCTCTTTTCTTTCTTGTGTTGGTGCTATGGTCCCTGTAAGCCCCCACTGCTAAACTGAATCGTCATGAGACCCAAAAATATCGTGACGAATAGTGTGTCTCAAGGGTTTAGATGAACCAATAATCGTCACATTGTGACGAATCAATCGTCACTTGTGATGACCTATTCGTCAACCGAGATAAATGAGACATTCGTCACGTGACAAAATAACTGTCACAAACCTGGAAGCAAATAAGCGCTCATGGCTAGGCTCCGGATTCCGGATGCCAGCACGACTCCGTACAGATAGCCTCGGTAGCCGTGTGGTTAAAAACCGCTTGTTTCCACACCGAAGATCCCAGGTTCGATACCCATCGTTCCGAATTTCTCTTTTCCAGTTACGACATATTCATTTCACAAGCTTTGATGATTGAGTTGTCACGTGACCAAACAATCATCTCACCCCTTGTGAAGAACCATTCATTTGTAAAATTAAGGAGTGACTTTTTTGTAAAGTGACGACTTAAAGGTTTACAGTGCCCATGCAGCCTGTGCCGGCCGCAATATGGGTAGGCAGTCCCAGTGGGCGGGTGCGCGCGACCGGCTGTCCACCCTTCGTGATGCAGGTGGCTGCGTGGGGAGCGTCACTGCGGGTGCACCCGTTTAGTCCGCTGCCTATACCCTCTAAATGGGTAAGGACGATTTTGTATCCAATAAGGATGCCCTTAAGGGGGGATCCTAGTGTAGCAGGCTAAAAAAAATCGTATTATTTTTTTTTCACTTAAAATGTCCTTTTGGGTGCCTAGAATACGGCTCGAGTCGGCCCGGGCGTCCAATCAAATTTTCCCGCCCGTGGAACGACTTTGAGCCCCTGTAGCTCTGCATGGATACCCTTGTCCTGAAACTTCAAGCGCGTTTTTCACCGTTCGCCACCGTAAAAAACATCTGTCTTAAATTTTGGGGGATGCTCTTAAATTGAGAACACATTTTTGAGGGTGAACTAGAGTGGCGTCTTCCTTCAGTCATCCTTTGAGAAAAAAATGAGTTTTGCGTTCGACGTGACTTTCTTAACTTATCTTTCTCGAACTCCTCGAATGTGGAGGGAGTGAGGCTCGGCTTGTAACGGGTGTAAGTGTAAGGCGTTATTTTTGAAGAGTGCATTACGGAGCGCCTGGGCTACAATTACAGCGGCCATCCACAATGCTGCTGAGTTTGCCTCCCCCCGTCCAGGCTGCTCCTCCCTCCCCCTCCCCCAGAGCCCGTAACGTGGCTATTTACCCAGCTGGCCTCATAACTGGCATTTGTGTCGTGGACGTGTCGTGTCCCTCACAACAACAGTTATTGCGGTCGGGGAAGGGAGGAGGGAGGGACAGCAGGCAGTGAGGGTGGGAAGGACGCTTTCTTTTTGCCGCGTCTTTCTGCCGTCATGTCTCTCACGGTCACTTTCTCTCCGGCCGCGTCTCTGCATCGCGGTCTCTCTCTCTCTCTCTCTCTCTCTCTCTCTCTCTCTCTCTCTCACGCGCACGTTCTGCCCCGTCACCTCATCCCGCACACTCTCGTCGACGAGGGAAGTCCAAGGTACCACAGCTGCCCGACATTTCAGGGGCGTAGGAGCCTATGGGGCCGGGGGGGCATGGGGGCCAAAATCATTCATATTATGAATGAAGACGTTCATATTACGAACGAGAGGGTTCTTATTATTAACAAATTGTATTCGTACTATGACAGCACAGAATTCTTCATAATATGAAGAGTTGCGTATATATTATGAACACTATTCGTTCGTAAGATTTTAAGAGTACCCTCCCGCTTTATCCCTTCCCTTCCCTGTCCCCTCGCACCACTCCGCCCCTCACTCCCTGTGATCCCGGCGTCGCCACAGTCCCCCTTATCTCTGCTTGTCAGGTCAGATCTCACTACGACCGCTATTGACCTTCTATCTCTGTCCATCGTGCGGTGTTACCCAGCCTGTGTCTTTCCCTTTCTCCATCCCATCCCATTCTCTTCCCTTCTCATCCATTCATTTATCATCATTCCCCTATCCCTCCCCCTCTCCCTCACTCCCCCTCCCTCTCACTCACTTTTTCGTCCCTAACGTTTTGAACAACACCTTTTTTCTTTTTATCCGAATGACCCGTCCCGCGTTGGTCACACACGACCGAAGAGTTGAAGGAGAAAATGGGGGGACGTGGAGAGGAGGCGGTGTCAACGACGAAATTGGCTCCAACCTTGCACCTACATTTTCTGCCTCTGCCTGCATCCCATCATGTCCCTGTTAGCATGATGTCGTCGGTCCGACTACAATATCTTGGCAGAGACGTGGCGGAGCGGGGTGGGGCGGGGTGCGGCGGTCTGGGGCGTCCGGGAGCGGGGCGGGGTGTGGACCGCTCTCGGAAAATCTCCGTGGACTCGGAGGGGGCGGGGTCGACCCTGGAGTCTCTAGCGTTGTAATTTTGTTACACTTTGTCTACGGATCCCAGGGGCTCTCCATCAAGGGGGCGGGGGAGGGGGAGAGTTGGGAGACCACACTGACTTAGAGTGGCGAGCCGCCGGCGGGCGGGGCACGCGTCTGGCCCGCCTGCGCGCGCTCCGCTGCGAGAAGGAAAAGTGGGGAAACTGAGAGGAGAAAGGGGGTGCAGTTTCGCAACAGAATCACGTTGAGAGAGAGCAGGATCCTGCCAGGATCGACTGCGGAACGGTGGTGCCGAGCTGAGAGCGGGTGGTCGGCAGGCAGCTTACGATGCAGCAGCAGGGCGTGAGGCGAGGGCTGCAGGAGGACGTAATTGAAGGACACCCCCTCTGCGTCGCGACTCGGCACGGCCTCCCCGGGCAGTCGTTCCCACACCACTTGCATTTCGTGCGAATGTCATGCAAATGTCATTTGCGATTTGCATTTTATTTCCTCGTAATTTTTCTTCACTTTCTTCGCCCTCGGTCTCGTAATTTCTTTTTATTCTTTAAACTTTTTGTGTGTGTGCGCGTTCGAGTGCTGCTACCGCGGATGCTCGTAAACGTGCTGAAAAAGTGTTTTTTAAAATCGTAAGTGAAAAGTCGGAACATTAAAAATCAGGCGGCCGAATGATGAGAGCTGGGAAGGTACTTACCAAAGGGAAGGGGGGGGGGGGTGAGTATGTATGCGTCTGTTAGAGGAAGAGCGAGAGAGGTAAGTGTGTAAGTGACCGAGAGTAGGGAGTAACAGAGAGAGAAAATAAGGCAAGTTTAATGTTCTGCAATTCGCGGCGAATGACTCGCCTAAATTGGTGAGGGGGGTTATAAGAGAAACTCGAAATGAAAGGGATAGCAGGAGAAGAGAACGGACGGAGGGGGAAGACCCGGTGCGGCGGTGGGTAGTGAAAGAAAGAGTGAGACGGAAAAAGTAAGAGTTGTGAATTGAAGTAATGACGTCAACTTATCTGAGACGATGTGGAACGCTCGGGCTCTTTATGAAGCCTGACTTTGAGTGCGTTTCAATAAGAGATGACTCATACGCCGGGCTCGGCTGCCCATGTGCCTTCCGGCCCCCTGGCGTCGCTCAGGTGCCACGGACCGACTCGGCGCGTTCGTCATAAAGGCAGGCCTAATCGAATCTGCATAAAAGTGTGTAACAAGAACAAGGTTAATCGTTTTAACTAAAATCAAAATTTTACAGTCTCAACTGCAGAACCAAAACAACCCTCAATTAAAAGTGTTAGACTATAGAGATAGTGTGTACTAGTTTAAACTGTAAAAATGTTCAGTTTGGCGGTTTAGACTGTTAGATCTGATTTTGAAAGATAAAGCTATTATTATCCTTCGAACAAAAATGTTCCTATTCAATACAGCTTGATTTTCAGACCAAGTTCTACCCCTTGTTCTGCATGTGCTCCGATTTGTTAGTGAGTGTGCAGACCTTTGCCCCACCCTCAAACATGATTAATTGATTGCCGATTGGTCGGGCATCTGCTCACGTGACCACGACGAACGAGGAAACAACGCGGCCGAGGAGGGAGGGATGGTGCGTGATGCCGGCGTGCAGCATGGGCGGGTGCAGGTGGAGAGGGGGGACATACAAGGAAGACCCTTGCGGCTCTCTCCACCCAAAGAAACATGGGTCAGAACACTACTATCAAATGTAGGCCGTTTGATCGGATATTTTGAGGGAATTCAATTGTTCCGTCGGATGTGTAACTTGGCAGTTCCCCCGGATAATATTCCACAAAAACTAAAGTGCCACGAAGTTCTTTGCGCCAATTGTATTCTGTGTTTTGTATCCATAAAAAATCTTTTAACTGTGTTTTATCATAGTTTTTTCTTTACTACAAACTGTACTCTAAAACATTGCACACGCACATCAAACGCAACGAAAGACGCCACGGAATACGGGAACAGTGTGTGGCTTTTCGGGCTTTTCGTTTTTCCAAACACTTTCTATGAGCTAGTCTTGGCTGGAAAATAATGTCGATTAAAACGGTCGGGCCGGCTGGCCAGGCTTTCCTCGCCTCTCTCGTGTTGCTGAAATGTTTGTCTCGCCACGCTCCGCCCCGTCCCCGCTCCAACCCCCGCGGCCCTCTTCGGCGGCCACCTTTATTTCTACTAACGGTCCATGGGGCGACAAATTCCCGCCATTTGCTGCCCGTTTATGACTCCTGGACTGCGCTGCACCCAATATTAACGGCGTTTTGACCGGCCATAACGGATAACGGATGACGAAAAGGCGTAGAGGCGGGCGAGGGGCGGCCTGGAGGGTCGAAGGTGGAAAGGGGCGGGGGAGCCCACGCTGTGCATTTAAAACGCCTCGAAGGAAAACTATCTCGTTGTTTTGGAGTCGGGTAGTCATTTCTTTTGTCCCCGTGTGTCCTTCAGGCTGACGGCGACCAGGAGCCGGCAGCGGGTGGCGGCGGCGCCAGCAGTGGCGTCGCTGCCACCGAGTCGTGGACGACCGAGGCAGACGTCATCAACAACAACGCATGGGCGGGCGGCAACACGACCACCTCGACCACCATGGCGCGCATGCAGGACTCCAGGAGGGCGCAGCGGCTGCAGGTGAGTGAGGGGCGCAGTGACGCATTGAAGGGGGCGCCATTGGGCTCAAACAGGACGCGGAAAAAGGCGAGCCTGCGCGGTCGTTTAAAATCAAAATAGCTTACTAAATAAGAACGAAAACGAATGTGAATGATTTTTTGTTGTTTTGTTTTCTCATTTGCAATGGTGTCGTGTGATTTGCTCGCTCGATTATGCAGTGTGGTCCAACAACGCAGCGGGGTGCAGAGTTCTGCTGCCCCCCCTCCCCCTTCCCGGCATTCTTTTTACCCCGACATTTGCTTTCCCTGTTCCCCTTTGTATCGCCTGGTGTACTTCTCCCTCTCTCTGTCTCTCTCTCGCTCGTTCTCTCTCTCGCTCTCTCTCTCTCCTTCTCGCTCTCTCTCTAGTTCTCTCTCTGCCCCTCTACTTCCCTCTCTCGAGTGGAATATTTAACTTGGTCTAATTGCGATTGATTCAAAGCCACTAATGTGTTTCGCTTTGTCCCCTGCTGGTGATGGTAGTGGTGTTGGTCGGTGAAGGGGGGGGCGGCAACTCAGTGCCACCCTCTCTGTCACGAGATGAGGCCATGGGACCGGAGCGCTCCACAGACTGTAGTGCGGCCAGGGGAGGGCGCTCTTACTGGGTACTTCCTGGGTCTGGGTGGGAGGTGGGTC